AAATCTCTGCTATAAATGATCTGTTTCCAAATGTACCTGTTAATCTATGTCATTTTCACATTAACCAGGCTGTGCACAGGTTTCTTTCGAAACATGTAGGTCCTGAGCATGTTAAGCCAATTCTTGAAGGATTTATGTCTCAAGTTTATACTGAGTCGTGTGATGAATTTTTAAAGTTGATGCAAGACATGAAAGATACTCTTCCTGATGTAGCTTTGGAGTATTTTGAGTCGAACTGGTGGAGTAAGGCCCATTTATGGGCAGCATCATCCAATGCTGATGTTTTAAGACTCTCATGCGACAACAACAAATCACTTGGAGTCTTATCATGCCAAAATAAAAAATAGTTTGACTCATTATCTTTCTTTTTCATCTGCTCTTCGTAACCTTATGTCTTTTGACAACTGCAAAATTACAGTATGTGATCGTTTAAGATTGCTTGCTGCAAACAGCTCAGTATACGTCATCTGATAATGATGAAAGTGTAAATAAGATTGAAAGTGTTGCTACTTTCTTTGCTGCTGCTCTATTGCTCAATCAGCTCAAATTGTTATGATCTGTTCTGTACTCTGTTGTCCCTGGAGAGGCAGAACTTTTTCAGTAGCTTATAAGGAACATATTTTTAGCTCGACATCAGTTCAATGTAATTCTTTATTTGCTAAAAAGATGGCATTACCTTGCAGATATAATTTTTCAGTTCAAAGACATTTACAGCTTCCAGAATTTTGTTCAGAGTTAATTCCATGCCGTTTTAGCAAACATGGTTTTCCTAGAGTAGTTGCTTCTACTTCTAGTGGTTCAGTAACTTCTCAAATTGTATCTACTAGAAACAATAATTTTAAGACTCAAGAGGGCCGGTTTAATCATACAAAAAGAATTTGTATGGGCTTGGCAAATTTTTTGGCGATGCAAGGAGAACAAGAATTTGTAGAGAAAATATCCTTTCTTGAAACTACTATAAGTCTCTGGAAAAGTCCTGAAAATTTAGATGAAAATAAATCGGCGTCACAACTTGATGAAGGTTAACTAGAAACAAGTTTCATTCAAAGTCAACTAATTGATTTAGTTGATATAAATGACATTCATTTTTCCCACGAGGAAACAGTTGCTGCAAATAATTTAGAAAAAATTGAAACTGAAAATAGTTTTAGTTCCTTTGGGAAGGTTAACTTTGACAGAGTTCGCCCAAAGGGGCGACCGAAGGTAAAACAAAATTTTACCCTGAAAAGAAAAAGATAGCTGCCCCAACAATTTTCAACTACTTGTATAAAATAAATATGTGAATGTTTTTAATGTTCTGAAAATAATAACTTTTTGGTGTGTAAATAAATGGATGCCGCTATTCAAACCCGGGTCCAATAGACCAATGCTATTCGGATGTCATTTGTGGTAGTTTATTTTAGTTAACGTTCCTTTAGTTAAACTGAAGAATTAAGTTTACAAACATATAGTGCATATAGTCCATTCAATTATCTTTCATTTGATACCAAATTTTGTCGTAAAACCTAACAATAATTTTTTGGAATGTGTTCATGATGTATGCATCCAATGTTGTTTCAGTGTCTTTTTCAGCTTTTATAGATATAGCATTTTCATTTTTTTTTTCCTGACATCAATTGATGAATCAGGAGGAATAGTTTTGGAACTAGATCTGTTCTGTACTCTGTTGTCCCTGGAGAGGCAGAACTTTTTTCAGTAGCTTATAAGGAACGTATTTTTAGCTCAACATCAGTTCAATGTAATTGTTCATTTGCTAAAAAGATGGCATTACCTTGCAGACATATTTTTTCAGTTCGAAGACATTTACAGCTTCCAGAATTTTGTTCAGAGTTAATTCCATGCCGTTTTAGCAAACATAGTGTTCCTAGAGTGGTTGCTTCTACTTCTAGTGGTTCAGTAACTTCTCAAATTGTATCTACTAGAAACAATAATTTTAAGACTCAAGAGGGCCGGTTTAATCATGCTAAAAGAATTTGTATGGGCTTGGCAAATTTTTTGGCGATGCAAGGAGAACAAGATTTTGTAGAGAAAATATCCTTTCTTGAAACTACTATAAGTCTCTGGAAAAGTCCTGAAAATTTGGATGAAAATGAATCGGCGTCACAACTTGATGAAGGTTAACTACAAACAAGTTTCATTCAAAGTCAACTAATTGATTTAGTTGATATAAATGACATTCATTTTTCCCACGAGGAAACAGTTGCTGCAAATAATTTAGAAAAAATTGAAACTGAAAATAGTTTTAGTTCCTTTGGGAAGGTTAACTTTGACAGAGTTCGCCCAAAGGGGCGACCGAAGGTAAAACAAAATTTTACCCTGAAAAGAAAAAGATAGCTGCCCCAACAATTTTCAACTACTTGTATAAAATAAATATGTGAATGTTTTTAATGTTCTGAAAATAATAACTTTTTGGTGTGTAAATAAATGGATGCCGCTATTCAAACCCGGGTCCAATAGACCAATGCTATTCGGATGTCATTTGTGGTAGTTTATTTTAGTTAACGTTCCTTTAGTTAAACTGAAGAATTAAGTTTACAAACATATAGTGCATATAGTCCATTCAATTATCTTTCATTTGATACCAAATTTTGTCTTAAAACCTAACAATAATTTTTTGGAATGTGTTCATAATGTATGCATCCAATGTTGTTTCAGTGTCTTTTTCAGCTTTTATAGATATAGCATTTTCATTTTTTTTTTCCTGACATCAATTGATGAATCAGGAGGAATAGTTTTGGAACTATATAATTGAAACTTTGCATGCTTATTTATATTGAGATTCTTTACTTTATGATGGATTGTTTTTAAACAAATGTCTCATAGGAAAAGTTTTCAGAATGTTTGTATTTATGTATTTTATTTATTAAGTTCGTGTGTTAATTTTTTTTTTCTATCTTTTCTGTCTTAGTTTTCTAATTGATTTTTAAATCATGAAGGATATATAATAATAATAATAATAAAGTTCATTTAAAAAAAACACGCTTCATCCCCAAAGGCTCGAAGCGCGGTACAAAGTCAACAAAAAACAATCTATAATTCACCACATTTAAAACAAACACAACACTACAAAAACTAATTACAAGCATACAATATCAAAGTCTTTCTGGCCATTTCAACACCAAGCAACACAGCAACACATGGAAAATAAGGTAGACAATCATCCCAGAAGGTATTTGCGAAATAGATGTGTCTTTAGATCTGTTTTAAAGGACTCCAGTGTTATATGGTGTATGCGTCCTATATCGTTCATGCAGCCTCTAATTTAAAAAAACACAATTTTATAATATTTTTTCATTTTTCTCAATTTTGCATTTTCTGGATTTTTAAGGAACGCCAAATGAATCGGGAAGAAAAGTATGCTAGCTACACCCTTCAAACATTGCAGGCTTCTTTTCGAAATTCAAGAGGCTTTTTTTATATATATATCCAACTATAAAGTTTTAAACATTTTTACATTTGCTACCCCTGACGAGTTCTCAAATATTTATGTGACCCCCCACATACATGCCATTTGTAACACTTCCAATAACTGCTGTGTAATAATCTTCTTTAAACTTTTTGTCAATGTTATTCTTAATATGTATGCCAAGTTTCATTTACAATACAGTACAATAATTTACAATACAATGCAATACAAATTTGTTTTTTATCATTTTGCGTAAAGTCAAAATTGGTATTAAATGTTAAATTTTTTGCAATAAAAGTCACAACAAATTTTTTTTTTTAATTTAGTGGATTTTTGTCTTTCTGTTTGTGTATGGTTTGTATGTACTGTATTTTTTTCAATGGCTCTATTTATTTAGGTTATCAGTATTTTATTTTCAATGTGGCATGACTTAGTTGCCTTGAAACCAAACTCCCTTCACAGATCACATATATTTGCTCCCACTCAATCATTACGTCTGTACTTAAATGAAGAAATGATACAGTACAAACAATAGTTAACTGTACAGGTACCAACAAGGAAGGTGAGAAAGTAAAAGGAGACAAATGGCAAAGGAATGATGTAACCTAATTGAATGAGTTTAATGGCTGCCTACTCCATACTGGCCCCTAATTTATTTTATGGATTGGTAGTTTTGCTCTGACTAAGCCAAGCTCTCTAGAGGAATAGTTGAAATAAATTCATTATGAATGAAATTTTCATTATTTAGAATACCTAATTAATTCATAAAGTACTGTGTGATTAAATCTTTTAACTTAAACAATACACATAAATAATCTTAAATAAAGGATTTAATTTTAATAATTAAATTAATATTATTACTTTTCTAAAATTCAAATAAAAACAATAAATGTATCTAAATCATCTTCATTACTAGATTAAAAAAAAAAAATAATTGATCTCCGAAAATGGCTTAAACTAAAAAAAGAAAATAAGAAAGAAAAAAATCTACCCATACTAAGAGAAATTAACAAAGCAAAAATAAAAAAAAAACTAAAAATAATAAAACTATCAATCAATCAAATAAACAAGGAGAAAAAACAATTTCAAAAATTATTCTCAGAATATTATTGTTATCACATTCGGCTTCGAAGCCATTTAATATGTACGGAGCCACTCCGGGTGCGAATTGTCATTGGCGACCATAGGTACCCGGGTACCTATAGATGCAGCAGCCTTTCCAAAAACCCTCTTTACAAAAAAACCTGCCATTTCTTCCTGCAGTTATTTCTGTGTCAAGTAATGAAGATCCTTTTCATCTTTTCAGACATAATTGATGTCACATATTCTTTTAAAAACTTTAAAATCTTTGTTGTTTTTTTTATCCCTACTAATAATAAATAATTTAGAGCTTAATTTATGGGTACTTTTAGCTAATGCGTAAACATGACTATTTGCAAATAGTAATAGTATCTCATAATTATGTCATGCAAACAAAGCAAAAAGCAATTTACTATTTTCCCATTGACATACCCCTCTACCCCACCCAGGTTGACCAGCCCAACTTAAGATTATTTTATTGAGCTAAAATGCAATGAAATCAAGCAATTTGTTCCAATTATTTAAGATTTTATTGTTAGCAAATATATTTCAACAAATATTCCTTGTAAGCTAAAAGTCAATTCCCTTTGTAAATGATGGTAAATATATTCTAAATAATCATTTTTAAATACATATATGAATAGGCAAAAAGAGCAATATGCAACATTTGAGAATTATGTAATGTGTATTTTTATATCATAAAAGTTGAGTGTACAGATCTTTTAAAATTTAAACATTCAAATAAATAATGGCTGAAAAGAAGAGGTTCGTCTTAAAGAAAATAAATGTAAGCCTTAAACTAAATGCTTGCCAAAATGGTAATGGTGGTGTCTACATCAGTCTTAACAGGAATACTGACATGTATCACAAATTTATTTTTAAGTGACAACACAAAAAGGTTGAGATACACTACACTCCAGATGGATATGTTTGGTGAAAAATGCATAACAAGCATAACAGCTGAAAGAAAAGATACCATTTAGAGAGAAAACAACCAAACTTGATTTTGACATGATTAATAAGAGCTGGAAACATGATAAATTAATATTCTTGGATTTAACAATATTTTTATTTTATCTTGTTCTTAAAACAATGTATGAAGCAAACATACTACCCGCATTATCCAAGGTCTCATAGAGCCATCAACAAAAATATATATTGATTAAAAATAAGGAAATTTTCTGATTATATGGAGACATGTAAATTTGACTGAAGAGAAATGAGTGAACATTTGAGTCTTATGTCAGGCAATGACTGAAATAAATGATAGAGATTCAAAAACTGTTAGAATTGCAGATTATATGAGTGAATAGTTTTAAATTTCTCTATATTAATGTGCTTAACAAGGTACTTCACATAATATGAATTCTTTATCAGCACTAAACATAAAAATAAATTCATGACATTCAACTCAGATTATAATACTTAGGTTCATTGTGAACAATATTGAAACCCAAACTATGGATTGTATACAAAACAAACATATGTGCTTCTCAATTTTAAAAAGAAGTCTGTAAATCCAATAAGCCTATTTCGGAATTATTTACATAAATTCTAATGAAGAACAAACTAAAATTAAACAAATATTTAAAGACTATTTGTGAAAATTTAAGAATTGTTTTGTAAAAGTGCTAATTTATCCTTTAACAATATGATTATCATAGATAAATAATAAATTCATTTTAATATTATAATGGTCATTAAAACTTCTCAAATCTAACAAACAAAAAAACACAAATTCATTAATATCTTTGAACATTGCTTCAGTATTATAAATAGGCAATGCATTTTTGTTGTCAATCAAACAGCTAAGTATTTTATTTGTCCACAAATTTCTGCCACGAAGTGTCATGATTTTACATGCATGGTACTTGATTTCAGATTCCAATTTAATGCCTGATTTTTAATTATCTCTAAAGAAAACATTATTTTCCATTACTGACATTTTCAGTCTTATGCTTGTAGTGCACCAATGGCAAATTACGGAGCCGTTCTGCAGCCTGTGAAATAAATAAACAATTTTAAAAACAATTAAATAATCTGTACCCTTGAATTCAAACTAATCGGCAATAGACAAAGAATCTCACCCATTTTAGTTTTGACCTGGTTAGGCCAAGAACAAGAGGATAAAATTAAGAACACATCATGTGCACCTTAAAATGAACAGTTTTTAGTTCCTAACTTTTAGAATGGCCATTACAACTAAATCAGCATATATATTCCAAAACTAATTAGGGCTCAGCAGCAATGGATCATTGAAGCATTTACGATTCGTTAACCTGAGCAATTTCTTATTCAGCCTTAAATAGTACTATAATAATTAAAGGCTCTTAAACAGACCTATACAACATACGGCCCGCGGGCCGCATGTGACCCGTCAGCACCAACTTAGCGCCCCGCCAAATAACGAAATATTCTGTATTCTTATTATTTTTCTCAATAGATTTTCCCCCTATTTACTTTTGGCCCGCACAAGCCCTGTACGATTTTCTTTTGGCTCGCACAACTTTTTCATAAAGTATTACGGCCCGCTTTACATTTTGAGTTGTGCAGGCCTGCTCTTAAATGATCATAAAAATCAACAAATACTCCCTATTAAGCTATTCCAAATCCTTGCTACCTGCCTTATTTTATGATCTTATCCAAAGTTTGATGATAAGAACTTATCTAAACCAAACTTTAAAGAAGTGAATCCGGGTGCATGAGACTTGCTAGCCTTGGACAGCAACTCATCTAAGAGACGGTAAACTCTGAATTTAAACCAGGAGCAAAAATGATCACAAAAATGATCACTAAATTGATCGTGGGCCCTCAAATATGTAAACAAAAAAAACAACAAAAAAAGAAAGGTCATCTACATTATTTAACAGACAAATATTATGTAAAAACCACATCCTTAAAAACTTGCCTGTTCAGCAGTCATGTCTCTCTGAGCAGAAGCCAGCATCTCAAAGCCCACCATGAATTTCTTTACAGTGGCTGATCTAAGAAGTGGTGGGTAAAAAACAGCATGAAGTTGCCAGTGAGACATATCCTGGCTTAGATATTTCCCTGTGGGGGCACCTGGACAGGTAGAAATTAAAAAAACAAATACATTAGCAGACAATGAAATGGGGGAGATCATCTTTTCTTTTTTTTTTTTTTGGTTTTTTTTTGCTACTTTAATAATGGGGAAATGGAAATGAAAATTGTATTTTATTATTTTTAAAAAATAAAATAAATTGGTATGAGCGAGGGAAGGTGGTGTCATGTACAAATACTTGACAAGGGAAGGTGGTGTCATGTACAAATACTTGACAAGAGGTGTCATGTACAAATACTTGACAAGGGAAGGTGGTGTCATGTACAAATACTTGACAAGGGGTGTCATGTACAAATACTTGACAAGGGAAGGTGGTGTCATGTACAAATACTTGGCAAGGGAAGGTGGTGTCATGTACAAATACTTGACAACTTTGGGATTTTTTGTTTGTTTGTGTGCTCATCCTGTTTTGTGGGAAGAACTTGTCTGAGACACTGAACCTAGCTATTTGTTCATAGCTGAGGATGACCCTGGAGGCATTTCAAAGACTCTACCATATAAATGAGCAGAAGTGCTATCTTTCCACCACAAAGACTAATGCTAACAATGGAATTTATTCCTTGAAGCTATCTATAGTTGTAAAAAATGTACTTTAAGATTATTTGATTCCTTACCATGCCATCCCATACAATATGGGAAAGACACTTCAAACAAGTTATCATAAACGGTCAGGAGCTTCTTCAGCATCTGGCTCAGATCTGGAAAAAAATAACTTGAATTTGATGAGAAGCGCCACATACATAGTGGCTTTTTAACTGACTTAGCCCAGTAAATCCATAACTATTTTAAAACTCAATTACCGGTACTCCATTGTGTGTCTCTTGCTATACAGCCCATTTTCACTCCTTTGTTTTGGCTACACTTTATGTAGTAACATTTTTCCTTTATACAAACTTTTTAACTTGGCTATTTTTAAACCACTGGCCACTGTTGGTTGTTCCCCACATTAACACATACAATCACTAAGCTGGAGTTCAAACATTAACAATGTCAAATAATTAATTTAGCCATTTGATTGTTTTCAGTTTTTATTTATTGAGAAAAAAATACAAGAAAGCTTGAGAGCAATCATCTTCTGACACAAATACTAAGTTTTTACTGAACATATCATTTCTAGTTTGTGTTAGGTTTTTAAATGTTATTCTTATACTCTAGATGAATAACTTTTTCATATTCCTTAACAGTCAAATACTCCATTTTTTTCTCCCTCATTAGGTTACCATTAAAATCTGGCTGGTTGTTCAATGAAGAACAAAGTGATAAAATATATCATGGATTCAGAATTGAATGATCTATTATTTGATACCAATGAGATCAGTTAATTTGGGTTTGTGCTAAATCTTTACAAAAAATGTTAACATGCCACAAACAGGTAGAAACAAAAATGGTATCCCTTTTTTCAGCATATAAATAAATTTCAATCAATTTTACCAACCTTTTAGTTAATTATGCTTTAATTATACTTTAAAAAATACATACTAAAAAAATCTTTTAAAGTAAAAAAAAAAGGTTATTTTAATTTAATTTTTTTTTAATTAAAGAAAAATTGAGAAAAACTTATTATTAGCGAATGATATAAGTTGAGATGGATAATTAACATACATGTTTTTTTATTTACCACATACAGTACAAATAAACAAATATCTGCTATGAAATATATCATTTTCTGTTTTCCAGAAAACTCCTATATTTAACAATGGCAGCTTATCATGGCTAAATTGTGTTTCTATTTTATAAACCTAATAAAGATTTTCACATGATATATTAACTGTAAGTAACCATTGCAATTTTAACAGTATGCTGAGTTATAATCTTTCAAATTGTCTGTGTCTAATTAATCATATTGTTTCAGAAGAAACATCAGCATTGTCAACAAAGTTTATCACCACCTGATTAATTTTACTGAACTAAAATTAATAAAGCTATCAGATCTTCTTAATTATTAAAGACAGGCATTTTTTTATCTTCAGATGAAAGAAATAGGACTTATACTAGAAAACTAATTAAATTGAAAGAATAAGGCTCTTTGCTACTTTTGTTTTCTTCTACTAACCACAATATTGTATTTATTCCAAACCCGATATCTTTTATCAACTAGTTTTATCACAATGCCATAGTAGTTGCATTCTGTTTATCCTACAATAATAATAGAGTCATTTATACTTTTTAATTAGATATTGAGCTTGCAAAAATAATTTAATTACAGTTTATATTGTTCATACCGGTGTTGTGTTAAATTTATGCAATGAGTACCATCCTCTCCTGCTTCTCCTGATTATTTAATAACATTGCTCCATGCATGACCTTTTCATTGGGTCTAGATGAAATTAAATTTACCTCCTTAAGCAACTTACTCATTTTTTTTTTCATTTAGAAACTTACTATATAGGCCCGTATATTGGCATACATTAAAACAATTTATGAATTCTATATTCCAGTGAAAAAACTCCTTTTATCCAGTAACACTGAACACTCCACAACAAATTGGGGCTAAAAGGATTGAAGTCCAAAGGATGTTTAGAAATTTTGTTCATCAACTAGAGTTAAAAATCAAGTTGGCTTAGTCATAACATTATAGCTGCAATAGTTGAGTACATTTACAAAGCATCTCAAGCTTTGTGGATGTAAATTAAAGTTGAAAAGTGATAAAGGTGAATGTACTCCTTATCTTGTTTTGGACAAGATTCAGTAGTTCGCTCAGGTCTTATGACAGGAGTAGAAATGTCATGATGATTGGGTTGCCCAATGCCTATGTCCTTGTCAAGCATTGCATACAGGTTTAGATCTTATAATTTAAATATAAAAACTGAAGAAAACTAAATGCGTTATTCAATTAAAAATAATACAAATTAAAAGCTGTTTTTAGTCAAAAATAAATTATAGACCTTTAAGTCATTGCCTCTTCTTAGCATATCCAATGTAAACAAAGAAAATTTCAAAGAACTATGCCAATGAACAAAAAAATTATAATAAAATATGCACAGGATATACTGGAACAAGAAATTGATGAGTAAACTTTATTACTGTACTTATTGTCAATTTTTCAATATATATATATTTAACAAATTTATCCATGTTGCTATAGTTGCATATCAAAAATAACTTTGGTATATAAAAAGGTGAGAGAAAATCAAGTGATAATCCACTGATGACTCGTGATCAAAAAGTCAATATAAAAGTACTTTAAGAGTTGAAGCAATTAAAAAATTATAAATTAAAATCTAATAATTATACCCAAAATTTAAACTACCAATATTTAAGTTACATAATTTTTTGAAGTAACTTCTAATTTGTAAATTTATCACTCACCATTTTTTTCCTCATCCGTCAAATCTTCCAGTCTTAAAACATGGCGTCTAGGCAGCAGCATTGTTTCAAATGGCCAGGTGGCCCAGTAAGGAACGAGCCACACCCAATGTTCTGATTCAAGTATAATTCTCTCCTGAAAAATTTTAGAATTATCTTAAACATATGCTATGAAATACCAAGATGCATAAATCAAACAAGTTAGAATCCAGTAGTCAACAGATTTGTCTTTCTTAAAAGTTAAATGTTAATCAAATTTTTAAAAAAATCAGTTCTTCTTCTGTAAAGTCTTTTAAAACATATTTTCTACCTGGTTGCTGGGATAACTCGATTATAAAATCAGAATATTATTAGCTGAAAATATTGACTTTTCTTAAAAGTTAAATGTTAATCAAATTTTTTTTAAAAATCAGTTCTTTTTCTGTAAAGTCTTTTAAAACATATTTTCTACCTGGTTGCTGGGACCGACTCGATTACAAAATCAGAATATTATGAAAAATCCAATATTTCCCCCAACTCACACTCTTAACAAGTTCCTTTTCTAAGTAAGTAACAAGCATAGGTTGTCCATGAGCCTGCAAGTAATTTTTCTGAGTGCGTTCTTTCAGACTCGGTTCATTCGGTAGAAATGAACAGGCCCAGACCTAAAGGAAGACAATAGTTTCATAAAATTGTGCAACTGAAAAGAGTAAGTTTCATTTTCATATAATTTGGCTAATGCGGTGGTCGGCAAACTCAATCAAAAGAGCCAAAAATCAGCAGCAGGAAGATTTAAATTTTTTTGAGAGACAAATTTCTTTTCAAGAATCTGTCAAGAACAATGTTTATCGGAGTTGAAACCGATTTGTGGACGACTGGACGAGCCGCGATTTGCCGACCACTGGACTAATGCAGGGAATAGTAATAGTAAATATATGGAGATTTGACCATGTCAGTGTCTCTGGACCAACTAATGGTTTTCCCCAACATCTTAAAGTCAATATTTTAAAATATATTTACAGAGGCACAACACTCCTCCAATATTTAGCCACATATAAATTTAGATTATCACAGTTATTTGTAAAACAGCTAACTTGATGGAGCTAATAGGCAAACAATAACTTAATAAAGGATTCTAACCTGGCAATGTGGATGAGGATTGGAGCATCCCATAACAGCACCTCTGTTTTCAAAAAGCTGCAAACAAAATATTATTCTTTGTTTGGTTAAGATAAAATGATTCTCTGTTGGACTGCCACTTTTCAAGCTGCAGTCGGTGATCCATTATGAAAAGTACCATCAAAATATATGAATAAAGCCTTTAGTATATATGCCATTTAATTAAAAGTTTTTTGCTGATTAGATTTTTTTTTTATTCACTGTGCATTAAAGATTTTAAATGCACATTTAATTTGTTGAGGCAACATATAAAGCGAATAGACAGTTTCTTTACAATTATTAATTTCTTAATTTTTATTACCTGGACCCATTCAAATTGTTGGCCAAGAGTTAGACTTTCTTTGATCCATGTGTCAATTACTTGACGAACGTCATTCACTTCCATCAAAGGAAGCGTCATATCAGACCAAGGATGGAAGCAAATTACACGGCACTTTCCATGGGCTGGTGCAGATTGAAACAGTGGGTCTTCACTCACAGCTGAATACAAAAAACAAAAAATTACTAGCCTCTGGTAATGGTAGCAAACAAAAGCATATTTGTATTTTTTTTAATTTCTGAAAACCATAATCCATAAAGTAATCAAAATCGAAGAATTGATGGAAGCCGTTCTCTTTTACACTTACGTGGATCAGGTCCTTCTGGTAACAATGCTGGAAAGTCATTGTCAAACACAAATGTGTTTGTATAATTAGGATTTACCTGAAATAAGTAGAGGTGACAGTGACAGGATTAATGTACCAATGTTGTGTTGACTTTGAATTTCACCAACTAAAATTGTTATCTAACTACATGAAGAATCAGAATTTCATGGAAACAGTTTTCAAGAGATGAGTGCCACTGAATAACTTAATTAAAAAATATCTGAAATTAGAAATTCTCCACTCTACACTCTCCATTAGCTTTAAAAACAAAGATGCATATATAATTATTAGATAACATAATATGACATACCTCCCCATTTGGCCGTGTCACATTAGGACACAAAGGATTACTAAGGTCATGTCGTGGTGGGTTATCTTCTGCTTTTTTTTCCATTTGGCCTTGCCAGGGGCGTTTGGCTCTTTGAGGCGATACAACAATCCAATCATCCCGTAGAGGATTATACCGCAAATGTGGGTGATCTTTGAATACCAGTTAAATTAATACCGGTAAACCAATATGCATTTCATTCTGAACCTAAAATATGTATTCTAATAATTAATATTTTGTTGATATTTTTCACTAACTGTGTGATGTATTTGATTTAAGATGTGATGAGAGCCAGAAGTACTTCAGAGTTAAGCCACATAAAAGTTTTGAATTTTTTAAAGAGAGCTGTGTTAGTAGCTCTAAATGTGTAGGGTTTGATTTTGTCAAGGAAGAGAGCTGTAAAGTCATTGAGTTGGGAGGTGAAGTTTTTTGATCGTGTTGAATTGGTGACTAAAGATGATGTTACAGAGAGCAAGGATTGCTCTGATTTTGTTCATGGCCACAATGGATTATGACATTGTTTATTGCTTGGATTGTGTGGATATGATATAAAAACATGCAATTGTGGCAATGAGTACTGAATTTGATTTTGAAGTAAAAACAGGTGATTTAAAATATCTTATATTGGTTCGTTGACTGTATGTCAAAGGGCCAAAGTAAAATGAAACACCAATTGTGAATGGATGAAAGGAAAAGGAAAATAGACAAATGACAAGTGTGTTGAACATAAGAGTTGTGAATGGAAAAAGGGACATACCACCATCATAAAGTAAATAGTGGAGGATGACCTTAGGTGGAGCTACGAGGGTCATTGTCCAGTCAGTACATTTTTTTGTGGGGTACAAGGGTTGCTAAAGGGTTGAGAGCCGTTATGGTGTTAAGTCTGACATATTGTTATGGCTACTTTATTTTATCTTGGTTATGTTAATTATGTGGAGGAGGTAAATTTTTCCCAGAGGAGGGGGTGGAGAGAATTTTTTTGTTGATACATCCCTAGCCCTGTTTCTAAACATTTCAATAGTTGAAGTATGAACCATGATAGAATATTAGACATTGCAGATACTGGTATATTGTATGCGAATTTATAGAATTTGTATGGAAAACAAATTGATAAAAAGATTTGGTACCTTGACTCAAGATTGTATAAACCAAATTCACAATTTTACATAGCTGCAATGTCTTTTTACTGTTTGGTTTTATATTGCATTTCCATCAACTTTCTTTCCATTCTGATATTAGCTTTCATTAGGGACTTGTGCCAATTCTTATTGTTTTCTTTCATTTCAGGTAAGATATAACATAAATACATTATGTAGATTTAATTTATAAATATATTAATGGGTTCATTATTTTGTTTACTAATGAAGGCAGTTGCCAAAAGGTTTGAATTTGTATTTTGTCTATCATAATTTAAGCTTAACAATAAATCTATATAATTTGTATCTCATTAATCTAATAAATAAACAAAATTTAAAGGCATTTTTAAGACAAAATAAATATTACATTTTAAACAGAAATAAAATAACTAAATAAATATGTTAAAATCATCATTATTCTGCAAACTCCTTTTAAAAGATAATGCAAATTTTTTTTTGCATATAATCAAAAATGTATAAGCCAAATTATCTCTATTTTGCTATATTTAAATTTAACTGTACTTACCACTGCTGTTAAATTCAGCCATCACTCCACAATGAACTATTGATAATCAATCAGAACCTGTTAAAAAGAACCCTGCTTATTTGAGTTTTTATGTTTTTGTTTAAACACTACCTGGTATTTAATTTTTACACATATTTCCATGCAAATATGAATGGCTGATATAACAGCTTAAAACTGAAATTCCATCATCCATTTATATTTTAAAAAACAAAACAAAGTCGAGCTTAGTAAGTGTAAAGCAATTTGCTGACCTTGAGTTCATATTTCAACTTTTCCCAGTCTTTTAGGCCTTTAATAATCAGATAAGTCTGGGTGCTTTAAATAGCATGGAGCTCATTTGGGGTCTATCAAATTAAAATTATCATAAAGTGATTTTCAATTAAACTGTTTAAACTGAATAACTGTCTAAGTTTTTAAGCCAGCAGACTAGAAAATGTAAATTAAAACTTTTTCTTCGAATGGCTCCCATGTCAACAAGTTTATAACAACCATTTTCCCCAACTTGCAGACTAGTCAGTATCGAAAATAACATCAAAGAACATTTGAGCTTATGCTCGTACTCTGCTAGGTCAAATTATTCAGACATCCACTGAAACTTCCATGCTGTGTTGATAGCGATGACCAAAGAACTTTGACATATCCCATTTAGTCTAGTATGGTGATGGAAATCGTTTTGAGACCAAGTGCCAATACTGCAACCCAAACCCCACTTTAATCGCAAAGTGTCAACACTGCAATTAAACCTTAATAATTAGCTACTCATGTGACTTGGCTCGCATTGCCAACAGAGAGGGTTCTTCTGGCGTTGTGGTTTGCCACCACTATTCAATATTGGTCTGGAAGTATTATCATTTATTCCACTTTGTCTTAATGGCTTTGGCCAATTACTTAGTTCCTAGGCCTAAAGCCAAAGTACTAGTTTGAATTTTGAATGCCTGGATTTAGATCTTTAAAATTAAGTTGGAATTGTGCAGTGGACTAAGTTAAAGTTACAGTCTAGCTAGTACTAATTACTAGTAGTTAGATACTCATAAATACAAAACAAGGCTACTTCGATTTCAACCTCACTATTAATCTACTACCGATAGGTAATACTAGTAATTAGTAATGTAAGTTTTAAGAGAAGGTCTACCTATAAATAGATATAATAGGCTTGCCATATGGTATCCACAAGGACATATTTTCAATTAAAATAAAATGACCTCCATTAACCTTCAGATGTCCTTTTTTTTAAAAAAATGTTTGTGAAAAGTAAAAATAAAAGTATCGTTTCAACTTTCTCTACCTCTATTTCTTTCACCGCTGTACCCAATAAATCGCTAACACACTATAATAAGAATGATTCATATAGTTCACAACAATTAGTTTGCAGAAGAGAACACAATGAGTACAAATCGGAAGATTTGATTCCTTGTACTGCTATTGAGTTTTTAGACCAAAAGAAAAACTTGTTAACGATGATATGAAAGTGTACTACAAATTTTGCAACCAGATGTTCATCAATTCTGAAGACAAAGGGATTAAATTCTTCAAAGATCATAGGCGGCATGAACAATGGAAGGTATTTGTCAAATCTTGCCTCAGTATCCATTGTATACTCAGAATTACTTATTATAAAATTTAATTTTGCATTCCTGTGCATAATGCAAACAAGAAGAGATTTCTTTTTCACTGATAAACTCTATGTGAACCAAGGAGCTGAACAGACTTGATGTAATGTTAGTGATGGCAATAATACTAACAAAACACAATTTTAAGAATATATGACATTAAGATATGCTTGAATTTTTATAGTTGCCTCTTAAATCGTAAGAAATGAAGAACTTTTGTCAAATATATAGCTAGCTCTGAGACGTAATTTTAATTGCCTACTTAGAGTCAAAGTATGCTATAAAACTATAAAAATTAATGCTGTGTAGACCTAGTTATTGGTTTATTTCACAAAAAATGTTTATACCTAATTTTAGCAGATGCAAGTTATTTTCTTTTTAACACGGCCGCCATCTTGGTTGCCACGACCTGTGAACCTGTAAAAGTTCACACAAATGACATCATGGCATGTCTTCTTTGCATCAGCCAAATAATCAATTCATAAAGTGATTTTCAATTAAACTGTTTTTAGACTGAAAAGCGTCTTTGGTTTTAACAGTTTTCAGTTAAAACAAGTCTAGTTATCTTCTACTCAAGATCAATCTTCCCTCTAAGGTTTTCTGGTTCATGTGCAGAAGCATAGAGTTGTGTGGAAACTTTTACAGCATCAATTTTTTTGTGTGCAAAATATTACAGCCCACAAACACAACGCACACACGGAAAATACATGAATGAACTTAAGTGCAAAAACGTTTATAAAATAAATAAAAGAACAATAATTAAATAATTATTATCAGAAATGTCACAATAAATCAATCAAAACTGTCACAATAGTTCAATTAAAGCTATATTTATTTCTATTATTTATCACATTGTTGGGTCAATCAACTAATTCCCATACATCCACTACCAACAGCCGCTAGTCATTTCATTTACTAATTTCTGGAGGTACTCTGGCGTCTGGTCTTTCAACGATATCCATCTTTTATACACATTGTCAAGGTTGATCTGATGTCCATCATTTTGATACACTTTAATCCTCATAAGCATGTCTAAATGTAACTCTTCCAGCCTTTGTCTAGATTTTACTTTTATATTATTGAATAGGCTGAATCCACTTTCACAATCCGCGCTTTGACGGAAGAAATGTAGCACAAATATCCAACAGAATGGCAGTGTCGCCAAAATGCTCCTCATTTATTACAAATCGAACCATCTCGTTGAAAGTCTGCATCAACCCACATTTCATTTTTTCTGCAAGCACAAACCTTAAGTTAAGATACTGATCCTTAACTGCAGAATGTCATCATAGTTTTCCAGGAATGCCACATACCTACAAACCAGTGCTGCAAGTTCTTCTTGGCCAAAATTTAAATCTGAAGTGTCAATTAACGCCGATTTCTCAAAGATTCAACATTGCATCAACTCCCTTTCAGGGACACAGGAGTCTAGATGCAAACATAAACGTTTAACAAACTTTAGAATAGAACTCATGTTTATATCGTCAGCAATTGCAAGCAATTAAGCAACCTCTTCAAACCAGTGCACATTTTCAGCAAGGTACTGGGCACAGAGCTTAGCGATCCTTGCTTCTACAAACTGGTTTGCCTCGATGGTCATAAGATTTTTTCTATGTAGCAGCTTGCATAATTCAGCAAGTTCACCAACAACTTCATCAAAGACAATCAGTGCAGTTCGATCCCTTAGTTTCTTCAAACAGTACTTATGAACTGGTTCACTATACAGGCTCACCTGCTCCTCACAGTATTCAGTCAACACATATTTCGCAGCAATGCTCGTAAAGCAAGATGTCCCGAAAGCCATCTGATTTCAATCAATGGTCTCAAGGCTACGGAATCACATTCCAACACCTTAGGTACCTCAGTAAACTGGGCTTTTCATACTGTTGACCAACTGAACAATGTGTGCACTGTCCTAAGGAATGTTTCAATTTCTGTCATTAAACTTTTATGTTTGCAAGCATCATCCATGCCTAAATCTTCATGATGAGCAATGCAATGTTGCTCCAGTAGATGGGGAATACATCGGCCAACGATTGCTGCAACTTCATTATTTTTGCCTAGCATAACCGATGCAGCATCAGAGGTAAACATAACCATTTTCTGCATATCCAATGACTTCTCTTGATAAAACTCTGATATTGCTGATTCCACAGATTAACTGTGACATGCCAACAGAGACAAAATTCCAACAAACACTGTATTGAAACATTACCGGGATATATGGCCAAAACTGTAGTATAAGATCAACATTTTTGTCAGTGCTCCCATCTAGTGTTAATTTGTGGATTTTTGCATTCCGAAGTTCACTAGTTATAGCACCCTTCACTACAGAATCGATAGAATAAACAAACTCAAAAGCGTAATTCTTACTGCGTCAGCTATTAGGGACTGGGGCAAGCTTAACCATATGGTTGTGTTCATGTTGATAGCCAAGAGGACGCTGTGAATAAAAATTTTAACCTAGTCTTCTTTAGCAATTTTTCTTTATGCTGCTGCTTTTCTCATGCCTCAATCAGTGAAACTTTCTGTTAGCATTCGCAGTACACCTCCTGACTATATAGAACAAAGTCTCTGTGTGTATTTTTTGCTTGTTATGTCATTTAAGATAATCCAGCTTCCAAGCCTCCCAACTTTTCCAATGGAGAAATCCCCACCTGCATTAGCTTTGAAGCACATTTCACAGAAAACATCAATTTCATGATATTTAAATACCAATCTGGTAGTCATTTGATCGACACTTTTTATTAGCAAGCTATGACAGTTCGCTTAATTAACGTTGAGACATAACGGTTAAAACATTAAAAATAATTAGCTACTACATTTATAATTAACGAGGCTAGCTTGTTCCGGTATGGATCTGTAAGTATGTAAATCAATAGTTCTAAGTAAAAAGTAGAAGACAAAAATATAGATATGAATCAAATTAAAAATATGGATGTATATTTTATTAAAACTGTATAATTCAGGCTCTTCAACTGTGCGGATACTCAAAACTACTGCACGGCTCAAAACTAGATTGATACATTGAGACTATGACTATACACTAATATTTACTCTTGATAATTTATAGTATATAATTTAAGTATAAATTGCACTACTGCTGCACTGGCATTAACTGATTAAGTTTAAGCTACGGCTACAGTCTAATACTAATTAACTATTACTAATACTAATATACTAATAGTAATAATAGTAGGCTATATTAATAGGCAGGGTCTATTTGCCAATTATTTGCCACTGCCTAGCCCTTGGCCTAGGACTAACGAAATACTGCAAGTCTTCTACTTGGCTTAATATTAATAGTACTACTTTTTTTTTAGTTTCTCTAAAGTCTACAGAGTATAATTATTTATTTTTCATTACGTTACCGTTACTAAAAGTTAAAGTTAAAGTAAGAAGTAAAAGTAGCTACCGTAGCGATAGTGATAGACGATGACGATGATAATCTTCAACAAGATATAAAGTTGGGTCAATTTTCGCATTTTGAAATTAAATTATATTGGTTGCAGTGTGAATGGCGGTCATGTGCTGCAAATAATTAAAACGGGTACGTTATTTAATTTTAAAAAAGAATACCTAAACTTGAGTTTCCACCAGTACGTGTAGTAAATTCAGAATCAATGTCAAAATGAGAATTTCATGCTTTGGCCTTGGGTCTTGAGGTCATACCCTTTGACCTTTTAATTCACATTCAGATTGTCTTTTTACATCCTTCTGAACTTGTTTTAAAATATAATTATTTTTTAATCGGCCTATTATATTTCTGTATTCACTTTAAAAATAATAATAATAACAAGCGTGCCAAGAATATAGGCTATATACTATATATATATATAAATTGTTTTTTTTTTTTTTTTTTTTTTTTTTTTATTTTAATTATAATTAAGTGCTCTATTACTCTATTAACTTTTATTTGCCGGGTGATATCTGCTCGTCCAAGCTGAGTGAAAAAGAGAGATAAAAAATGCCTCATTCTGTGACTACGATTGAATGAGTTGATTATGAGTATGACTCATGTCATGACAACAAACTGAGTGGACATCATAAGCATCACAGCAATAAATTGACGCAGACTAAAGAATAGTAAATAAAAGTATCAGGAAAAAGAATCAAATTCTGAATCAAAATTGAAAATCACAAAAGTAAAGACACAATTGAAATTGACCATTGTTTTGACGTTGACCATTACAATTATAATAATGATAATAATGAAAAGAATAATATAATTTTATCATTAAATAATGATGACGATTCATTTAATTTTCGAAGTGGATGCGTAGACCGCGGCGGTGTAATTGGTGTAATGCGTACACCGCGGCGGTGTACCTAGCGAAACCATCGGCTTTGGCCTGCGTAAACCGCGGCGGTGTACGCAGGCCACAGACCATGATTTAGCTAGGTACACCGCCGCGGTGTACGTAGTGCCGGCCTTAATTTTAATCGATGGATGTCCAATACAGAGTCTATGACTATGTCACGTGAAATGCGTAATTTAAATTACAATATGACAATAAAACTTTAAGTTTAGTATCAGTATCATTCAACATGTCTATTTCTACTGTTATTTCATATTTGAATAATTTATTGAATCAGTTTTACTTCTTTAAATAAATTAAATTTTAAGTTTACTACTACTCCTACCTGCCTACCTCTGTAACTGTAGTCTGTAGTCAGTGTAGTCTGATCCTAATTAATAGAGCACTAGAAGTGTATTTTGTAATCATAATTAATGACAATATTACAATATAATGTATTTACTATCATTTACTAAATAATTTAGTAAATACTGGTACTGTACTTGTGGAACTAGCCTAAGTAGGCATATAATTATAATATATACTATATTAATATTGTCAATAATAATAATAGTTTATAATCCAGGACCTTGTACTGTAGTATAATAGTATTGTATAAGTTAAGTATAATTGATTATTGATTTATTATAAACTAAAGTAAGGCTGTGGTGGTGTGTGTAACATGTAACTGTAACAAAAACTTTATTCTGAATCTTACCATTTCTTACTTTCTTTTCATACCCCACATCACATAATCACTCACTCCAGTTATTCAACCAATATTCACTCACAGTGTTTAGGACATTCATGAAAACAACTCACCATGTCCAGTCAAACAATATGACAACCATACAGGACAATCAGTATCAGGCTAGTAAGTACACTCAGTACACACAACAACAATACTGGTCAGTCAGTCACTCTTATTTACTGTCACATCTCACTCTCCACAAGACAATCAATAATTAATCAAGAAAATAGCTCTGTACTGTATGCACTAATGGATCAGATAGTTGTAGTATAGTATAGTGATAAATACTGACTAAACTTAGTGACCTGAGTGTCCTTTATCAACAAGACTTTCAGACTTTCAAATTCACAAGACTTTGTTTTGAGTTTGACTAGCTTGAGGTCAGTTACAAAACTATCAAATGTTTTCTCCGCTTGGACTTCTTGGAAAAAACACATGCCTTTCATTTGTTACATTCTTTCTTGGATAGCAGGGATTTTCAACTTTCTTCAAAAGTTGACTATGTGGAAAGATGTATTTATGTCACATTCTTTGTCAGTCCACTGGAATGTATTGAAAACTTATACTGCATCATGGACTATCACATGCAGTTAAGTCATGCTCGGCACCTCTTTCTTTACTCTTGGTATCCAGTCCATTGGCTATCTTGTAAATTTAAAATGACTGCTTAAATCTCTTCATTCCAATGCACCGAAACATTTCCATTTAATTCCAGCTGTTGTGGCAAATGGAGTCAGTCCATCTGACACCATGTTAATCTGTAATAATATATAAGATATATACCTTATATTGGTCAGTCAAATAGTCACTCTTACTGTTACGGGGCCCAGTTTAAATACATTTTAGTATGGGGTAGCTCCTTAGGCTACTCTACATGTCTTAAAAGTTAAATATTAGGTCTCCAAAGAGCACAGGTTGGGAACCACTGCTCTAGAATTTAGTCAGTTAGTTGTATTGTTTTACTATTATTGTGTATAATGTATGTATAGGACTATAGTTTTGGAAAGGCTAGTAGAATATAAATATATATTAATAGTAATAGGCTAGGCTTATTACGTTATTAATAATTAAATCAAATAATGTGTAAAAATTAGTAATAAATTGGATGATTAGAAATACTATCTTGTTAGTGTTAGAATTAGAATTTAGAAACAGTTCAGTAGGCCTAAAGGTATACCTAATAAAACACATACCCGGTAGTGAAATGAAATTTTAGGATTGTATTTAAGCAATTATTCAATCTCTACACACCGTCATCATTTATTATAGCATATAGACAATCATCTCTTTAAACACTTTCCACATTTTAACTCAATACGTAATGTCTTCTCTACTGTGGTTGATATCTAAATCTTGTTAATCACATACTGGGTATGATATATGCTGAGGATATTTTTTTTTTCTTTCATATTTTGAAGGCCCACGATCAATTTATTTGATTAACTAATTATAGAGTGTCGTTTACAAAAATTGTTTGTGTCTCATTAATATACCTGAGAATATTTGCTGTATCATAATAACTATGAGTTTAAAATTTGATACCAGTAATATATTTACTAAACAGTTGCGTTTTTTTAAATTTCAGGCAATATGGAATCCTATTCTCCTGTTTTTGTAGATGCATACAACCCGCTTCAAGCGGGAAGTATTGATGGAACAGATGAATATCCACATGACAAAGCTATCTCTAGAGCAATGATTAGTACATACAAACCAAACAAATTTGTTATAGGAGATCCAGAATGCACTGTTTTTGTTGGACACCTCAGTCCACTTACCACTGATGAAATTATCATTAGATCAATGAAACAGTATGGGACTGTTGTTCGGGCAAGAGTAGTGAAAGACATTGTCACTGGCTTCTCAAAGTGCTACGCTTTTGTTGAGTTTACTGAACCCTACGAAGCTAGAAATGCAGTGAGAAGTGGTAATAAAACAACTATAGATGACCATGAAGTGTTAATGGAGATGGAAAAAGAAAGGACTTTGAGAGGCTGGATTCCTAGAAGACTTGGAGGTGGTCTGGGTGGAAAGCGAGAATCAGGTCAATTGAGATTCGGTGGGAAAGACAGACCATTTAGAAAACCAATATTACGAGCAAATGTGGAAAATATTGTGTCAGATAATATGGTTAATTACAAAGATAAGCCACGATTTGAAAGTTATAAAAATCAGGATAAGTGGAAAAGGGAAAGTTATAGAGACAGTTATTATTAAAGAAAATTAATTAAGGATTCTTTTTAATTACATTTTTTTTTCTGCATGTTTCTGTCAATAATGTTAACAAAGATAATTTATGTCCTGTTTTTTGGGGTTTTTTTTTTTGGCAATTACCTTTTAAATTGTTTCTTAATTTTTTAAAAGATAAAATATCTGACCATATTAAAAGTATTAGATGACAAAAATGTCTTCTTTTTTTTTACTTGAGTGTTTTCCCCCTACCATTCTCTTTACTCCCTAACTGATATCAAACCACACACTTCCCCTAACCCCAATCAACCATACCCTTTTACACTTTGTCTCCCTGATGACGCTTCCCTTGTTTCCCTATCAAGCTTACTCTCATATACTTATGTCTTATTTTCAAACACTGGCCCTACTTTAGAGCCTTATTTAATATAAATGCGTTTGCCATAATCCTACTTTAAGTTTTCACTTCCTATTGAACATAAGAAGAAAACCCTGTTCAGTCCTATTTGAAGTTGAAGTACTTAGTTTAACTTAGTACTTAAAATGGCATAGCTAGGATTAGCACCCCCTGGAACGGGCTGAAACTTCTGCCACCCCCACCCCTACTAAAAAAAACTCTGCACTTGGACAAAAATGCAGCCCTCAATATAAAGAAAAAAAGTGCTGCTCCCTCTGCCCCAACCTTCCTACACTGGTGACAGTGTGCAGCTATCTTGAGTGCCATGTTAGGTTAGTATAGACATGAACCAATAATGACAGGATCAAGTGATCAAGTATATTACAATTAAATGTATGGAAGGTGGGCAACAGAACCATAATTTATAAACTGAACAGTGTGGATATGTGGTGGGGAATTGGTTAGCAGGATACATGTTTTTTTTAGGAAAAAACAAGACAAATTTGAACTCTTTTATGACAGTTTACTATGAAGGCTACTGTAATTGTACCATCCATGTAAGTTATTTGCTTGATCTGCCCTTGCAGAAACAGCAAATGGTTATGAATAAATTCTAAATGGTAAAATTTAATTGTAATTCAGTATATTTCTGGAACATAGCAAAATGTTAGAATACAGATAGGTTGGAGCAATCATCAATTAGACCATATGTGCTGGTACTAATTGTTCCACAGGCCATAGTTAACCACAATAGAACTTTGATAATTCATATTAGATCATGCAGCAGTTTGAAATTGCTATGTTCAATTCTGAAGATGTATGTTTAAAATTATTTAAGCATGTAACTTGTCGGATTTTTCAAAAATAATTTATGGTTCAAGAATTGTAAATACAGATCATCTTGAATTTGAATTTATTATTTTTTTCTTTAAAATAAAATATTTTCTTTTCGTCTTTTGAGCATTAAAGGGGGGGGGGGGGGGGGGTCAGGTGAGTTAGTTGATATAGAAGATTTTGCATAAGGGAAATAAGCTCTGCAGGAAAAAAAATATTTTTTAATGCTCTAATTCTGCCATAATTATCCTGAATTTTGTGCACCCAACTGTGAACAAAAATCTGTGAAATCAATGCTTTCTAATAACTTTCAAACGTTATTAAAAAAAAATGTTACAGCATTTTGGTAATTATCGTCATCATACTTTCGCTCATGTTTTTCGTAAAGGGCATTGTATGGGGTTAGTGTAGGCCTTCATACTTCATAAACAAACAAACACATAAAAAAAAAAAACTATACACTACCCTGCAGATGACCAAAAATGCAGTCCCTCCAAAAAAAAAAGAACAAATATTCATCCAGGGAAGACCACCCCAACACACTTTTTCCGAGCCCCATTCCCACAACTCTGGACTGATGATGATGCAACATTATCGTTTAATATTAATATTAATTCAGCAGATTTATGTCTATTTCTTTGCAGCAACAGCTCGTTGGACAACTTTGAAAAACATAACAAAACATTTCCTAAAACTAACAAAAATCCTTATCTGATACACGCCGGAATCAAGAATTGGTATTGTGCCTATTTGTTATCAATGAGTGGCGAGATTTATAATGCAATATTTGCATTTTCAGAAACAACAACTGATCCTTTGGTGCGACAGGAATAAATACCATTCGTCAATTCATTAAAGGGCTTCAAAATTCATGTTTCATTTTTATATGATCCTAATAAAGGATTACAAACATCTCAAGGAATTGTTGACAATTTTTATATGTTCATTTATAAAATGTGTTAACAAATTTAACACATCAGACATTGATGAATCTGATTATGTTGAGAAATTCTTTCTCTCTCTTTTGTACACATGCTTGAATCTGATTATGTTGAGAAATTCTCTCTCTCCTCTCTTTTGTACACATGCTGGCATGCAAGAAATCACCTCCGAACGTTCTTAATTTTTTTTCAGTCATGTCAATGCCTGAATGTCAGAGCCGTCGCGTGGGCCCTGCAACCCTTGTGGCCACAGCAGGCCTCTTATATTTAAAGGGACCAAAGTTGTGATGTGGAAAAGAATAATGAACTATCAACTTTGAATGCAGGGGGCACAAAATCGAAAAGTGGCAAGGGGCCTCCAAAGATCAAGTGACAGCTACGTTGGATGTTTGTCCAAATATAGTAAATTCTTTTCGAGCTTAGTAACTAGAAAAAGAAGTTTTTTTCTAAATTTAAATCGATTAAAACATTTAACAGCATGTTTGACCCAGGAAAGGTCCACGTCACATCTTTGGATACGATGTCTACTGAAAATAATTTAGCAGATTATGAAGAGAAAACACCCACATTTGCGCCCCTGAAATTTGCTGCTGAAAACTGACCAATAACATCATCAAAGTTAATAATTTCTGGTCTTTGAACTGTTTCTCTCTCTACACTGAGCAGTGCTAGCACAAACGGTCTTGTCCTATCGACGCACACAAGTATGACAGGATCAGTTTCAACTTGCTGAAGGAGCAGTCACATCCTGCTATTGACACAGAAATTTTTAGGAGAATTCACAAGACAGTGCTTAAATTTGGAAAAACATCGTCACCATATGGCAATATGACTCACTATTATGTCAAGTTCATATTTTCTAAAAACTAGAGATTAGTATTAGTAAATTCCAATTTGATAAACCGTACAAAGCCAGCTAAAGATTTAAGAAAGTCACAAAACTGATCATTTTCAATTAAATTTTGAATGTAAGTCAAATCATATTTGATACAATTTACAAACTACTACTACCGGTACTTTAAATAATGACACTAATGAACTGAAAAAACACAAATGATGCATTTAGAATTGTGTATTATAGCCAATATATACAAACACTAGACAAACACACAATATAAACATTTTTTACATTTTCTTCCCAGTCAAGAAAGTGTAGCCATTATTTTTTTTTATTTCTTTTTGCCACAAATGTGAAACAAAAGATTAATTTACATGATATTTTCCAAATATCAATAATAATTTCTAGACCTCAACTATAGATCTGTCACCATAAACGAAAATAATAATTTCTAGACTTCAACTATAGATCTGTCACCATAAACAATGTAAACATTGTTGAGGTTTTTTAATTGCCTGTGACATAAACTTTTTGTTACTTTCTTCTAGGACCGGTACTTTGTATGATAACCTTTTCTTATCTTCATATACCAGGTGCCGGTACTATAAATTATAAATGTGTACACATTTACAAAAACATTTATCTTAACTTCATACATGTATTCATATTTTATATAATTATTTATATATATATATATAATCTTGTGACATACAAGGGGTTAGAAACTGGTGCACTTTCCCTTATTAACTTGAAACAAACACTATCACTAGTTAGAATTAGAAGCAATGAAAGCCACAGGCAAGGTTTCACTGACCAAGCTAACATGTACTTATTATTCTTTTTTTATCTGTAATAGTATTACTATTATTATATTATTATAGCATTTCAGGATATCAAACATTTAATTTATCTAGATAACGCTAACTAGAAATATCAATGCATCTTATGTTTATTCGTATCTGGAGAAGAAAAAATTAGGAGTAAAATCATCCTCATTTACTACATGCTTATACTATATGTGCCATATAAAAGTAAATTCTTATACTAACTAATGTTATAAATATATAAATGCTTGCGCTACGGAAAAGCACAAAGGAACAAAATTTAAATGAAAGACATAGTTTAATTTAAAAACCATATATTCAGTGCAAGATTAAAAAGAAGAAATCTGTCAAAAAAAGTACTTACCGGTATTTCAAAATATTAGTTTTGCAACACGGAAAGAAATTCATCAATATCAAGGTGCAGGTAAAATAAAAACCTGAAAATTAGAAGCCTCACCCAAAGTACTTTTGCACTTCCCTTAAAGCATACTCAATGAAATTCCTAAATAATTACTTATTCTAATATTTTGAAACTCAGAATAACTAATTTACATTTGTTTGTTTCCTAGAATAAATAACAAAAAAAAAATTAGATTCTATAGAACCAAAACTAATAATACATCTACAACAAGGACAAGTTATAATAGTTACTAAGTTTAATTTTATACGGTAGTGAAAAATTGGTCAAAAGACTTTTATGAATTGAGGACCGGGAAATATTAAAATAAACACAAAGGCACATAACTGACAAATCAATAGATATGATGTACGGTACCATGGTTCCCATGGAAAAAATGGTAAAGACAGATCAATGCACATTTTGCTTAAACCTTTAAAAGTGGGAACTGACAAACAACTGAAATCTTTAACGGCACTAAATTATTATTATCAAACACATACACACAATTACTACAGGAGCATTTAAAAAATTATACATTATTTCTAATTTCATTTTGCAAAGGACATAATCTTCATCAAATTAATTACATATGCCCTTGAAAATAAAACAGTGATTTTTTTAAAATTATCCAGTGTATTAATTTATTTAAAACTCATTACACGACAGATATACTCATAGTAAAAAATAAAGGATTAACTTTAATACACTGTTAAGTCAATCAAGGTTAAGTGGCTTAAATATAATAATTTCCTAAAATTGATAAATATCCCTAAATACAAATTCTTATTAAAAATTAAAAACAATGTTCTGCAGTTTGAGCATAACTGTCAGAATAATCAATTAAGTTTAAAGGTACTGGTATCAAGAAAAAAAAGGGTGACAGAAGCCATTAACTGTTAAATTATCTAATTTTTAATGGGTTTGGCTTTATCTTGATGCGACAACAGTGGCCAGGG